GGAAATCTGCTACACCACCAGTGTGGTCCCTCAGTTGCTGATTCACCTCCTGGTGGAGCAAAAGACCATCACCATTGCGGGCTGCGCTGCCCAGATGTATGTCATCACCATCATGGGCCTGACGGAATGCTGCCTCCTAGCAGTCATGGCGTATGACCGTTACGTGGCCATATGTCACCCCTTGAGCTACAAAACTATCATGAGTGGCCGGGCGTGTGCACATCTTGTGGGTGCTTCATGGATCATTGGCATCTCAGTGGAAGTAGCTCAGATCACTTGGATCTTCAGCCTGCCCTTCTGTGGCTCCAACCGCATCCACCACTACTTCTGTGATATCCTACCAGTGTTGAGGATGGCATGCACGGATACATCCAAAAATGAGATTATGGTCTTCACTGTGTCAGTTCTGTTAATCATAGGCCCTTTTTTATTGATAATCCTGTCTTACATCTGCATTATTTCCACCATCTTCATGCTGCCATCGGTGGAGGGAAGGAATAAAGCCTTCTCCACCTGCTCCTCCCACCTCATGGTGGTGACTTTGTTCTATGGAATGGCTCTTATCACTTACCTGGGGCTCAAGTCTAGCTTCACCCTGGAGAGTGATCAAATGCTTTCACTCATGAACACAATTGTGGGACCAGTGTTGAACCTCATAATATACACTCTGAGGAACAAAGACGTGAAGGGAGCCTTTAGAAAAACAGTAGAGAAGAGCATCTTTTCACACAGCCAGAGAAAATAGGGAATGAAAAATAGAGTTAATTAAAACAGGGGGAATGAGGAAAATTCATAAACAATTTGTTGAATTACTCCTGATGACCCTCATTTTTTTAATTGAAATTTTGCCATTTGAAAAACTTTGACCTCTTGTAAACCTGTCGGGAAAATGGGAAAAGAAACTCATAAATGTTTTAAATATTTAAATTTTGATGAAAATTTGATAGAACCTATTAACAGGATTTAAACTTCACTGAAAAATCAAATGAGAAAATGTAGTCCAAGTAGTGTCTTGATTTTATATCTTCAAAATGTGAAATGTCAAAGCAAAAAATAAGCTCAAAATGAGAAATATTTCATGAAACACTGACCTTGGTTTGTGCAATTTTAACAATTTTCATCAAAATTTTAATACTTGAAAAATTCCAACCTGCTCTACAGAAAAGTATATTTAGGCTTCTCCTTTTCCTGGGTTGGATTTTTTTGGCCTGTCTCTTGATTGCATTTCCCCAGTGCTCCCTCTGGTCTAATTTTAAATAACATTCCTCAACACTTATGAATGGCTTCCTATGTTACACTCTGATGGATCTTTCAATGCCTAACATGATCAGGTCAAACAACAACTCGAGGAGCTGGCTACTGACTTCTATGGCATTTTGCACAGGTTCAGAGCCTATGCTAGCAGATCATGGTGCATACCATAGATTCATTGATTAAAAGGCCATGGGGAACCATTTTGATCATCTAGTTTGACATCCTGCTTAACGCAGGGCAGAGAATTTCAACCTGGTGATTCCTGAGTCAGAGAAGCACTGTACATGGTTTATATTACATATGTAAAATAATAGCTGTGTTATAAACTCATATAAGTGGTCCGATCAATGTATCACAATATTGCACCAAAAGCCTGTGTATATGGCACATCTTTGTATAACTATATGATAACATACATTTGTATATTCTTATAATGAGAAATACTACTCTGTTGGCTTGTCTACCTATATCACTTCCTACGTATAATAAATAAAAACAAATTTAAATCCTCTATCCCTAGCTCAGCAATTACAGGACTATATGCCTTCTTTCCCTAAA